TTTATTTAAAAAGGTCCGGTTGTTTACTGATTAAGAAGATCACGGAAACACCGACCACTTGCCGAAAATTTGGGCTTTGATAAATAGGATTTCACTAAGAAAACTTTGAATAAATGTAGACCGATGTAAAGCACGTCCAACTCAAAGCTCGTCGAATACGCTCGCTATTAAAGGCTTGCAAAAAGAAGTTTTGGCAGAACAGCCCAGCCTTTATTGCTGGCTTTGCGATGCGGTCGTACACGCTAAGTGTCTCGACTTAACGGGCCGTATCGCTGACGTAATTTCTGCCAATAAAGGCATACATTACTGTTGCCATGCCTGCCGGGAGGTTGAGAAGGAAATGTTATCCTTCATGCGGCAGACCAGAGGCGGATTTAATGAGCTTAGGGTCCATTTTCGCAAAGCGAATGACCTGTTCACAGTGCTGGACGCTCAATTTAACGGGATGAAGCTGTTAAGTGAGTCGCCAAAGCGCAAAAAATCAGCTTCTGGTCGGCAGCAATTGGGCGAGCCCCAGCAACCTACGATCTGGCATACCCCCTCGGCCAAGCCCCCGGCACCGACACCAACTCCAATGGTGTTGAGATCGGGAACGGCTAAAGATTCGGCAATCGAACCTGCCGGGAATGAAATCGCAGCAGCACCGCCCGTTTTATTAGTTGAGTCCACTGCGGAGTCTCAATCTCTGACACCGCAGACTTAAAAAAAAATATCAGCTATCCCACAGGGCACTGGCTGAAGTCGAAGTTAAAAACAATATTCGTTTCTCGGCTTGCCCCTGTCCTCGCATCTGAAGATGTACAAGCTCACATACTGAGCAAAATTCAAGCCAATAATGTGAAAGTAGAAAAATTCAATTTTTCATACCCCAGAGACATCTCATCTTTCAAGATAAGTGTCTCCCTCGACCTTTTTGACACAATTTGTTCTGGTGACTTCTGGCCTGAGCACGCTGCAGTCAAGGAGTACGAGGTAAAAATAAAGAAAATACGGCCTTCACGGCCGGCACAAACCACAGCGACCGCGGGCGTCACGGCAGTGCCAAAAAACTAAATACCTCCCTCCTACTTTCCTATCAGAATACTAGAGGCTTACGCAGCAAGCTCTCTAAATTGTATTCTGATAGTGTTTCGTTTGCATCCCAGGTGATTGTGTTTACCGAAACCTGGTTAAAGCCGGAGATTCTCAGCTCCGAAATTTTCCCAGGTAAGTACACAACTTATGGATTGGACCGTCTTTCCCAGCGAGGAGGTGGAGTTTTAATTGCCGTTAATTCCAACCTTAGTTCCGAAATGGTTCAAATTGACGATCTCACAGGTATTGAATTTATCTGTGTAAAACTATCATTTCCAGGTAGTTTTATCTATATAACCTGTTCTTACGTTCCTCCATCTGCTGAAGAGCCCATTTATTGGAAACACCTTTCGGCAATTCAGGCTGTTTCCAACATGCTTTCAGATAGAGACCAACTAATAACTCTAGGAGCTCGTTGGTCATCAGATGGTACGTCCAATGTCCTCCAAACTGTGGCACAGCATTACCTCATAGATGTCTAGCTTGACATTTCTTTGTCACAAGTTAACCATGTCTTAAATTCTTTAAATCGATTACTAGATCTGTGTTTCGTCTCTGATCCTGTAGGTGTAAACTTAACAAGAGTTGATCCATTGATGCTTCTTGAAGACCCTTACCATCCAACTTTGGAAGTGACCATCGATTTGGGGACTGTCGTAAAGACCAAATCTGATCTGAGTCGCTAAGCTCCTAAAATTCGCTGCTTTCGTAAAGCAAACTTTCAAAGGCTATATATCTTAATTTCTGAACTTAATTGGTCTGATCTCTACATGTGCACTGACATGGCGTCCGCCGTGGATATTTTGTACAGTGCCGTGAATGCGTTTTTTGCATCGTGTGTTCCGTTAACCTATCCGTCGGTTTCTAGTAAAGCACCTTGGTTCACTAAAGAGCTGACACACCAAAAAAAGTTTAGTCTAGGCTTTATAATAGTTATTAACGTACTTGTTCTCCAACTGTTCATTCAAGGTATCTTAGTGCTTAACGCACAGTGTTATAAAAGTTATGTAACTCGCTGTTGGGTTCAGTTCACGCACGACCCGAAACAGTTTTATAACTTTTTTAATACTAAACGAAAACCCAATCTATATCCTTCCTTGCTTTCTTTTAATAACACTACAGCAAACTCTGATCATCGCCGATCTCTTTGCCGACTTTTTCAAAACTACTTATTCTTCCTCAAATAGCTTAGCTCAGACTTACTCTTTGATTTGCCCAGGTCGAACCTGATTTTCAGTCCTATTTTAAACGAAAGCTCCCTTAGTTCGGATCTTCATCGTGTAAAACAGATGGAATACCAGGCTGCGTGCTCAAGTATTGTGCTGGGGCTCTGTGCAATCATCTTCTGAAATTGTTTAGCTTATCCTTAGAAACCTCAGAATTTCCCCTTATTTAGAAGGAATCATTTATCATTCCTCTCCACAAAAACGGTAGCAAATCGGACGCCAGCAACTACAGAGGAATCTGTAAGTTGTCGGCAATTCCAAAACTTTTCGAGAATGTAATTACTCCCCACTTGCAGCATTTATGCAGACCGACCACTACAAATCTCCTGGAACTCACCTCTTTCGTTATTAGAGGTTTCCAACGTAACTTTCAAACCGACGTGATTTACACAGACTTCAGTAAAGCTTTTGACTCGGTTAATCACTCTCTTCTTGTAAGGAAGCTTGACTCAATCGGGTTTCCAGACGATCTTCTTAAATGGATTTTGAGTTATTTGAGTGACAGAACTCAAAAGGTTCTGTTTAAAAATGCTCTGTCCAAATTCCTCAGAGTCACTTCTGGCGTCCCACAAGGTAGAAACCTCAGCCCGCTGCTATTTACTTTGTTTATCAATGACCTCCCGCTGGTTCTAATGAACTCAAGAGTACTTATGTACGCTGATGACGTTAAACTATGCTTGCAGTATAAGGACAGCTCTTGCCAGTCAGACCGGCAATCGGATCTTAATAACTTTCAAGCATGGTGTCGTGCTAATATATTACATCTCAATAGCTCTAATTGCAAGCTGATGATATTTTCACGTGTCACTCCCCAGTTTGCCACTTATATGCTAAATGATTGTGCTCTTGAAAGAATATCTCTTGTTGATGATTTAGGCGTTCGCTTAGACCCTATACTTTCGTTCTCTAAACATATTTTGTGCATGGTTAATAAAGCCAGAGGCATGCTCGGTTTTATTAAGAGATGGTCGAAGGAATTCGATTCCCCCTATATAACGAAGACCCTTTTTACTTCGTTAGTTCGCCCTATATTGGAGTATGGTTCATGCGTCTGGAGTCCTCAATTCGGAGTCCATATTAACCGTATTGAATCTGTACAAAAGAACTTCTTACTTTTCGTCCTCCGTGGCCTACCTTGGGATGCTGAAGAGAGACTACCATACTATTCCAGTAGACTTCTATTAATTAACATACCCTCGCTAGCTAACCGTAGAACGATGCTTGGTGTCGTATTTCTTAACAACTTAATAAACGGTGAGGCTGAGAGCCCCTATCTCTTGGGGCAGCTCAATTTCCACGTTCCCCGACTAACATCTAGAACCCTTATCCCTTTAGTAGTAAATCATTGTAGGCGAGAGTTTGAAGTACATGAACCCTTTACGGTTTTATGTACGGGTTACAACCGCCTCTCTGATATTATTATTCGTAGTGATAACCCTTCCATATTAAAAACTTTAATACTTGTAGAGTTAGCTCGTAGTGTAGCATCGTAGTTTAATCTTGCATGCGTTTTTAGTATGGCATCGTAGTTTAATCTTGCATGCGTTTTTATTTATTTATCGTAGTTATTATATAGTAACATTACATTATATTTTTTTATATTTATTTTGCATGCGTCTTTGTTTATATGTATATGTCGGAGACCTAGGTGGTGGTGTTGGAGACATCGGTTCATCCTCCATGATTCTGCAGTTTTTCTGAGTTTCGCACAGCAAGTCGCCTGGGTGTGTTCCTTGTCCGTTCTGAAGTGAATAGCCGTTCACCTCCATTGCCATTCACCTGTCATAGGTCTCTTTTCCTATCTCACCACACCAGTCAATTATCTCACCATGCTTTCACAGCACACTACTCAGCTGAACACCCCAGGCGCCATGCTCACTTGAGTTACACTCAAATGATGCTCACTCAACTCATCAGAATATTACACACTTCTTTATTCTACATGGAGCTCATTGTTTTGGTTACATTCGAATTTAGCGTAGTTAGATTTACGAATCTACGACATATATATATTTTTATTATAGTATATTTTTTTTATCCTTATTAAAATTTTTTTTTTTTATTTTGTTCTCTCCTAATGTTTCCTCGTTCTTTTCTTCTTTCTTTCTAACGCGTCTATCTAGTTCGCGATTCGTGCCGTACGTCACACGGCTGCGCCCCTCGTTCGGTTGAGCGGGAGGTGGAAGCGGGACCCCGCGCGAAAAAAAAAAAAAATTGCTTGACTATTTCCTACATTACAAAATACACGAAAAATGCCTAAATTGCCCCTTAAGACTGGTTTTTATCTGTATTTCACAGAGGACGCTTCGCAGAAAACCATCGAGTGGTCTTCGGAGGCCGTCAAGACTTAGTACCTCCTAGTCCCTGGCCAGTTTACAACTGATCGATAAATAAGAGTCAGAGTTCCAACAGATGGCCGATTGGTGGCAGAAACAACGGCCGACGGTGGGTGAGTCGGACGTCTAAAGGGGCAACAAAACATCCAAGCCTCAATGTCGGCAACACTGCCAAATGCAAAAAAAAAAACGACAATACATTTGAAGCTTCGGGGATGGATTTAGATTTATCAATATAAAAGTTTAAGCTAAATTTATCTATAAACTAAAACAAGATTTTTCTTGGAAATGCCCTCCTATTATAAAAATAAACTACATAAATGGGTTAAGCTTTTAATATGTGGCATTATTTCTGAATACTTACCTTGTTTCAAAGTTGTAAGTGGGCCTCTTGATGAACAAAAATGACGGCAAAAAGTCTATGAACACGCGTTTTACCCAGGGAGCCATTCTATGAGTTTGAGGTGAACGGAAATGAACGTTCAGAACGACAACCGTTACGCAGATACTTTAAACATAATTATACATAAATTATAAAAATAAGTATTTGGTTTAAGAAAATATTACCTTATAGACACGAGAATCATTGCAAATATAAGATATTTTCCCAATAATGGCACAACCAGTGATGTAGGAGGTATAATTTCAACCACCAAAAGAAAAAACACATGAAGACTAATGAGAATTGAAATAGAGAGTGTAACCTTTAATAGAAGAAAATAGCATATTACTGTTATGAAAGTCATAGTAAGTATTACAGACCTTTTCTCCACTATCCGATGGTAAATAAAAAGTTAGAACGGTTAAAAAAGAAATTCCCATACACGGTATAATTATATTAACCGTATAAAACAGGGTTTTTCGTCTCATTGTTATATTGAATGTTATGTCCAAGTAGGGCTCATCGCAACACGTGTAAAACTTTTCATTTCTGAAAAATTTAAAAACCATAATTAATAAAAGAGTTATTATTATTTTGTTGAAAAGCCTTATGCGGGATGTAATATTTCATAAATATTCGAACAAATGTATTAATCTTTTTAATTTCTTTTTCTCCTTGATCTTTATCGCATCATCTATATGAAAGAAAGAAAAAATCAAATCAAAAGTTGTTTATATATATAATTTAATTTTTATTTACAAAAATTTTAAATATCCATATTATGAAAGACGTTGATGCATTATATGTGACAGGATGATTTTTTAATTAATTCTTTATTATTTAGTTCTTTTACACACACACGTCTTTACTATTTGTACGCTCGAATGACAGTGATCTTGCTGCACGTAGGCACCTCTCTTCCACCCCGAAAACCAGTAGCGACGCTCTCTGAGAGAGAGAGAGAGTAACCTGCTCTCTCAGAGAGCGTAACTCATCGAATCGTGTGCCCAGACCCCACTTATGGCAATTGGCCTGCTATAACTCGGCCGTCCTGACCTTGAGATAGCCCACTATCTCGGCTAAGAATATATTAAATTTAGTCTTAGAATTAGTTAACAATTCATATAGTTTGTACAATTTTTTTTCCACTTTTAGTTTAAAATTTTCTTGATTTTTATCTTTAACATTCTCTTTCAATTTTATTTATCTAGATTTACTATCATCTTTCATCCAATGCCGAATATTATTAGCGCTCCAAACTCCTTGATATGGATTTCGAGATAATTGAAACCCATCGATGTCTTTTAACAAAAATCTATCATTTCTCAAAACTTTTCCAATAATGTACGGTCCTTTGTTTTTGGGTATTAACTTCCTACTAACTCCTGCGGTACTATCAAAATTCTTTACCATTACATAGTCACCTTCTCTGTATTCTGAATTCAGCTTTCTTTTCGAATTGTAATAGGTTTCGTTTTTTTAACTGCGACTTTATTTGATTTTCTTCTGCTTTCTAAGTTGTTCTAAATTTTTCCTATTTTCCTCAATGATTTCTTCTTCACTTTCTAAGTTTTCTCTAATTTCTTCTTCCCCTTCTAAATTTTCTTCAATTTCCTCTTCGCCTTCTAATTTTCTTCTCAGTTGTTCTAAATTTCTCCTGTTTTTCTCAATAATTTCATCATCATCCTCTAACGTTTCTCAAACTTTTTCTTCCTCTTTTAACTTTTCCTTAAATTCATCACTATCTTCTCCCCTCTGGGCTATTCCGAATAAAATTTCACTGGGAAACTGCTTAATGCTGCTATTCAGTGTATTATTCAACGAATACTCTACTTTCTCTACTACTACATCTCAGTGTAGTCCTCTTTCTGGTTCTGAAAGGTTCGCAATCATCGGTCCTAAACTTCAATTTACTCGCTCCACTTGACCATTGGCTTGTGGTGATCCCGTAGCAATTTTTATGTGTTTTATATTCCTTTCCTCAACAAAATTTGCGAAATCCGTTGATGTGAAGCAACTTCCTCGATCTGATATAATCCACATTGGTCTGCTATACGCCCGAAAATAGTCTGCTAATGCGCTCAAAACTTCTTTTGTGTTTGTTGTTTTCGTAGTATAAAACCTAAAAAATTTCGTGAATCCATCTATCACCACTAATATATGCTTCTTTGATCTGCTATTGTCTACTGGGCCATAATGATCAATATGTATCACCTCAAATGGCTTATTGCCTTTCGGTATACTGTGTAGCAATCCATCGCCTTTACCTACTTTAGGAGAGAACGCTATACACTTCAACATAATAGACCCAAATCAGGCTTATTCCTACATCATCCCCAAATCGAAAATAAAACGACGCTACTTGCTAATCAGACTTACAGACAGATCTTAACAATTTTCAAACATGGTGCAGCGTGAACTTATTAAACTTAAATGGCTCTAAATGAAAGAAAAAATTAATATAGTTGATGATTTAGGTGTCCGTCTGTATCCTAAACTTGACTTTATCGATCATATTTCGTGCATGGTGAATAAAACCAGGGCTGTGCTTGGTTTCATTAAACGGTGGTCAAAGGAATTCAATGACCCCTATGTTACAAAATCTTTATATACTTCACTTGTTCGTCCTATCTTAGAATATGGATCCTGCGTTTGGAGCCCCCAGTACGGCGTCCACAGTAAACGCATAGAATCGGTTCAAAAGAACTTCTTACTTTTCGCTTTACGCGGCTTAAACCAGAGGTTACCGTCTTATTCGAGTAGACTCTTACTAATTAACTTACGCTCTTTATCTAATCGTAGAACCATGCTAGGTATTACATTCTTACATAACTTAATCCGTGGTGATGTGGAAAGTGCTGACTTGCTGGGTCAGCTTAAATTTCACGTACCAATAAGAAACACTAGATCCTTTTTACCATTAGTTTTGCCCCACTGTAGTACTTCCTTTGAAATGCATGAACCCTTTAGAGTCCTTTGTGCAAATTACAATGATTTGTACACCATAACTTGTAATGTTGATAGCCTCCCAAAACTAAAAACTTTAATCTTAACCCACTTAGTACGCATGCAAGCAACCAATCGGCAGCACGCCAGTAGTAGTTTCCTCGCATTTTTTTCTATTAATTTCCCTCGCGCCTACTAACTGCTAACATTAACAAGCACGTGCTTGGTGTCGCAAGTTCCACTTGATATGTACTGTACATAGTGCATCAACGTCTTGCATTAAAAAAAAGGCTCTTGCATTCTGAAAGGAGATACCAAAAGAGTTGGTTAGTTTTTTGGGACGGAATTGACAGACGTAGAAGGGGCACTAGGCAAATCGGGCCTAGGAAGAGTAATTCCTACTGGCCGCTTTTTCTTTGTCTTACCTTCGAACTGTTTGACAACCACATGCTAAGGCCAGGTTTGGGCATAGCATACTATGCCAAAGACTTCGTCAAGAACATTTATCTTGAAAAAAGAAATATTCCTAGGATAAGAAAATTAAAATTTTTCCACCTTAATTTTTTTCTCTATCGGCTTTTACTTTGCTTTGGATAAAAGCTATGATGTTCGATCAGGGGAGAGCCGCGAAACAAATAACTGTTTCGTAGGTGGAATTGCCATAAGGGGTTTTGGCCAGGCAGACTGACCCACCTTACTAATTTCGGCCGGGAGTCCGCGCCTGACACCCTGGCAGGGACTTGGACTAGAGCTCTGCGAGGACAACTGTTGGGACCCCCCAGGAGACAACACGGAAATGGGTAACACCGGGGACACGGTCTCGCGACACATTCGAACACCGAGTCTTTTCTAGCACTCGATCTCAGGATTCTTGGAGTTTGTCCTGATGTCGAGGGCTGTGTCGAGGGCGGCCGCTGTTGAGAGCCTATCACTGGTGGCTGGGATCCGCCTAGATGCTGCACACCAGTTGCGGTTTTTTTGCGCCTAGAAGACTCATTTAATAGCTTGAGGCTACTAAATTGAGTATCCATCGCCAAGAGCATATCTTGAGTTTAGCTCTTTAAAACCGCCCCTAGTTTGCCGCATAAAAGACATAATTTCCCTCTCCACCTTGCGGCAGGCCTCACGGCAGTAGCGTACACCGATATTCTTGGCCACGTCATCTACTGTCCGTGCAGTAATACCTATGCACTTGGGATGCACTATGTATATTATCACACAGCCAACAGGTGACGGTGAGTTCACCGTGTGACTTACCACTGTACTTCGTTAATTAATAGAGGGCGTAAGGGTTTAAGTGCAGCGGCAGTGGAAGAGCAGGAGAGCAAAAGATCGGGAGAGCGTGAGTTAAGCACTGAACTAAGAACAGTTTATAGCTGTCGCGATGACGCAAACAACAACAAACGCAATAGACACAAAAGGGAATACAAACTAAAATGTAATTTAAAATGAATTAAACAACACAAATATAAAAGTTGCATGCACACGCGAAGTGAACGGGAGCTATTAAAAACACCAAACATGAATTGTTAATAAACCCCGGTGGTTTTTAGGCAAAATTCTACACAAATCGGGAGCGCAAGAAAAAAAGAAGGAAGAATCAGAAAACGTTAAAATGTGTAATTGTAATATTGTAAAGTAAAGAAAAACAAATTGTAATACTGAAACGAATTGTAAATATGTTAAAATTCTCATTAAGTTATAGCATTAAGTCAGAGATAGAGGCCTATCTCAAAGTCAGGGCAGCCGAGTTGTAGCAGGCCAGTTAATGTTATAATGATCTGGTCACACTATTGTTAGGCTACGCTCTCTAAAAGAGAGCAGGTTACTCTTTCTCTCAGAGAGCGCTGCTTATAGCATGATACAATTATACAAGGTAGTCCCGTCGGCTGCTGAAATCGTTCGGATTTTCAGTGCGTGCTCGCTTGTTGAAGGGAAAGGTTGTGTGCGGAAGCATTTTATTTCGAGTTTTTAACCCTTAGTTGGAAATGACTTTTTGCAAATGTTGCCGACGGCATGTGCACGGCGTGAAATTTTTATTTTAAACTCGTTTTATTGTATAATTATTAAAAATATAATTACAAAAAATATTCCAACTCGTTTTATTACAGAATTATTAAATATAAAATAATATTACAAAATATTCAAACTCGTTTTATTATAGAAAGCGACTTCAACCCCCACCCGAAACCTAAGGGTTAAAACTCACACTCTATTGTCGTCCCACTCGCACTCATTAGTCAGAACTGCTCTCACTCGCACTCATTGTTATAAGTTGTAGTGTACCAGATGTTGCCGACGGGACTACCTTGTATAATTCTATCATGGCTTATAGCCCTATAACACTCTAATGCAGTTTTCATTAATTAGCTACTTCATTAGAAACTTGAAAGAGACCACTATATGTGTAATTTTGCTTGGATTATTTTGGTAACACGACTACGGTCACACCGACCGTAAAAGGTAAAAAAAAAGCCGCCATTCGCGGCGTATTACTATGATTTTCTGAATTCCTTGTCGAAGTATTCTTGCATAAATATTCTTCCAGAATCCTTTAAATTTATGTTTGGCACGCCGAAGTTCGTATACCCTTGCAGGTATTA